GTTTTGTTGTATCTGAGACCTGGCATAACTACCACAACACCACTGTGTACCCTACTGTACTAGAAGATTTTCTAGTTAACTTTTAGATGCTAATTTTAATGAACTTTGTTACTGTTACTCTCATGAATAACATACTCTTTTCTTTTTATGAGTAACATACTTTTATGGAGGACTGGTGGTGTCACTTACATTAGAGCAATTGCTTAGTATGCATGAGTTCTTAGGTTCAATCCTCAGCATTTAAAAATGCTGTTAAGGGGCTGGGAAGGTGGCTCAGTGGTAAAGCTCTTGCCTTGCATGCTTGAGGCCCTGGGTTCGATTCCTCAGCACCCATAAGCAAAAAAAAAAGCCGGAAGTGGTGCTGTGGCTCAAGTGGTAGAGCACTAGCCTTGAGCTGAAGAGCTGAGGGGCAGCGCCCAGGCTCAGAGTTCAGGCCCACGACCGGACCCAAAATAAAAAAATAAAAATGCTGTTAAGCATTAGTATCATATTAATGTTAGAAACAGAAAAGTTCTTTATCTTATTTTTCTATTACACTTACTGCTAAAAGACTATTGCAAATTGAAACACATAAAATAGGGTTGCATGCAGTAGAACTTACAACATTAAATATGGCACTGACTAATAAAAATATTTATTAGTTTGGCATAAATGTTTGCATACTACCTCCAACACATTTTTAAAGTATTTTGTCATTTTGATTCATTCTATAAACTCAGATTTATCTATTCTTCACTTGGAATGAGCATGATTGATCAAAAATCTTAATCAAGGGGCTGGGAAGGAGGCTCAGTGGTAGAGTGCTTGCCTTGCATGCCTGAGGCCCTGGGTTCGATTCCTCAGCACCACATAAGCAGAAAAGTCAGCAGTGGTGCTGTGGCTCAAGTGGTAGAGCACTAGCCTTGAGCTGAAGAGCTGAGGGACAGTGCCCAGGCCCAGAGTTCAGGCCCCTCGACAAAAAAAGAGGAAAAAATCTTAATCAAACTGGGCATCCGTGGCTCATGTAATCCTAGCTACTCAGGAGGCTGAGATCTGAGGATCATGGTTCAAAGCCAGCTTGGGCAGGAAATTCTGAGACTCTTATCTCCAACAAACCACTCAGAAAACTGGAAGTGGCGCTGTGGCTCAAGTGGTAGAGTGCTAGCCTTGCTTGAGCTGAAGAGCTGAGGGACAGCACTCAGCCCAGTTCAAGCCCCACAACAACACACACATACACACACAAAATCTTAATCAAAAGTGGGGCACTGGTGGTTCTCACCTGTAATCCTAGCTATTTAGGAGGCTGAGATCCAAAGCCTGGGCAGGAAAGTGTGTAATACTCTTAACTCCAATCAACTAGGAAAAAAAAAAAGCTGGAAGTAAAGCTGTGGATCAACTGGTAGAGTACTAGCCTTGGGGGAGGTGGGGGAATGCAGCAACTCAGGAATGGTACCCAGGCCCTAGGTTCAAACCCTAGGACCAGCAAAAAATAAAAAAATAAATCAGCACAGAGATCAATAGCATTATTGAATACAAAGCAGTCATTCAGATTAAAGTAATTGTTCTGTGGATCATCATTAAATACAGCCTGCCCAGAATGCATAAGGCAGAGTGAAAATATGGAGGTTTAATATTTTTGGCTTTTTGTGTGTGTGTGTGTATGAGACGTCTTGCTGTGTGATCTGTGCTAGCCTCAAGCTCACAAGTAGTCAGTGTAACTGTGTTGTCTCAGCATCCATCTGTTTTGCTGGGATTCTACCCATATGCCACTAGGCCCAGAATCCAAGAACTTGTGAAGGAATCTTATAGTCACTCTAGCCTTGTTATTCAAATTGATTCCTTCTCCAGCACCAGATACTACAAACAGTATTAAAGCCAGTATTTTAAGCCATCTAAATTGAAAAATAACATAAAACCAGTAGGGAAATGTCTGTAATACATCTTACAGATCTATTAAAACTCATGTAGTAAGTTTTTAAAGATACAGTAAAAATTTGTGAGTGAAAAGGTAAGGTCTGAAATGGTCTAACAGTAAATGTAGGATTTTTTTTTCTTTTTCTTTCTTTTTGGTACCAGCTCTGAGACTTGACCATAGAACCTCACTCTTGCTTAGCTTTTGTGCTGAAGGCTGATGCCATTTGAGCCACATTTCCACTTCTAGCTTTTCACTAGGTAATTGGAAATAAAAGAAAATTTATCTGCTTGGGCAGGCTTTGAACTGTAATCAATCAGATCTCAGCCTCCTGAATAACTAGGATTACTGGCATGAGCCACCAATACCTAGCAAGTATTTGTTTTTGTTTTGTTTTTTTGCCAGTCCTGGAGCACTCAGCTGTCCCTGAGCTTCTTTTGCTCAAGGCTAGTATTCTACCACCTGAGCCACAGTGCCACTTCTGCCTTTTTTGCTTATGTGGTACTGAGGGCTTCATGAATGCTAGGCAAACATTCTACCACTAAGCCACATTCCCAGCCCACCCAGCAAGTGTTTGATTATGTATTTCTACACTGTCTCATTCCACAAAGATTTTTTATAGCAGTATATACAATATGGTCTCAATATCTAATGTTAGTGGTTGTTGTAAGAATGAGATTTTCCTTTTTAGACATTATTGCGTTATCCAAATTTTCTATAAAGAATGACTATAATTTGCAGTCAGGGAAAAAAAACCCAACCAGCCACAAATACTCCTGTATAAGTAGTAAAAGATAGTATGTTCCTTGGAGAAAGGAACAGACCACATATAGACATTCTTTGTGCATTTTATTATTACCTATTTTCTCTCGATGTTAAACTTTCTTGATTTGAATTCCTGTTTGTTTTTTTGTTTCCTTAGGGGGATTTTCAGGCTACTAATAAAGTATCAGCTGGATAACCAGGATAACCCTTCCTACATTGGTATCCAACATTTATGATATTAAGTTGTGTGAATTGTTTTTACATCCTCTCCCCTCACATTCCTTTTTCTGAAATTGAATGAGTACTGCAGTTTCTCACAACAAACTCCAAGGTGGTGTATCTGCCACAGAGCACATTTTAAAGCAGGAATACGGCCTAATTTTGATACACTGCTGAACATGTTGTTTGCCAATAGGAATTGAAGGACAAACCCACTTTTATAATTTCCTGTGCTGTCAGGCTTTTTATGTTTCATTTGGGTGGGAAAAGTATGTTTGTGCCCGGAGGGTTATGCAATCCTTGGTCACAATTGACTGTCTTCAGCAATCTGTCCTCTTTAAAAGCTGTAAACCACAATGTGTGATACCTGGGTTTTCTCTCTAGTTTTACTTCTAGAATTTTTTTGTGTTGGTTTTTTAATCAACGCTTACTTATGTCTTTAGTGTAATATGCCAGCAACACCTTTGTTCTGTGTTCTTTGACATACGGGTATGGCTGGTTAAAAATGGTGACTTATGTTGACATTTCTTTGGAATTCTCCAGGACTTCCTTTTCAAGATTTTTACCAGCAGTGTCGAGAAGCATTCCTTGTTAATAGTGATCTGACACTCCGCGCTCAACTAACTGAATTTAGGGACCACAAACTTATAAGAACAAAGAAGGTAAGAATGCATTATATGTCAAGAATAGTTTATATTATTTATTAAGCACAAAAATACATTTGACTCAGTGAGACCTGAATATGAAACTGAGGTTTCCATGATGGGTCACAAGGATCCAGTTAGTGAATATGCCACTGGAGGTTTTTAGGAAGAGACGAATCCTGCTTCTGAGAAGAGCAAAATACTCCTTATAAATCCAAGCTGGATGCTGGTGCCTCATGCTTGTAATCCTAGTTTGTAATCTAAAGGTTTGAGGCTCGAAGCCAGACCAGGCAGGAAAGTCTGTGAGACTCTTATCTCTAGTTAAAAGCAAAAAGCTAGAAGTAGAAGTGTGAGTCAACTGATAAAAACCCTAGCCTTGAGTGAAAAGGCCAGGTGAGACATGAGACCCTGAGTTCAAGCCCCAGGATCAGCATGCATGCATGCAAACACACACATCACACAGAAAAGCGTTGTAGTTCAAAGTGGGGGGGGGGAGACAGTGAGTCACACCTGTGTCTAAAAAAAAAATGAACAAAGAAATCAAGTGTCAGAGTTAGAGTAGAGCAGGAGTTCAAAGGATCTAAAGCATAGTGAAAATAAATGACCTTTGTACCTACCCTCAGTTTTTTCTGCTATGAAGTGGCTTAACTATAGCTCACTTTAAAAATGCATATGCCTCTGTACCCTTTGCTTTTGTATATTTAAGACATTTATTTAAAACATCGCATCAAAGAAATCAAGTAAGGATTCAAATACTTTGCTTACAAAGACTGAATGTTCTTTTATTTTTTAGGGAACAGATGGAGTAGAGTATTTATTTATTCCTGTTGACAATGCAACATTGACTGACTTCTTGGAGAAGGAAGAGGAGGAGGCTTGAGGCTGCCCTTTCACTCTTGAACCTTCCATGGGTGTTTGTACTCCAGCTGCCACTCCTAGTCAAGTGTGGGTTTACCCCCAACATTCTTTTATCAGCTTCTAAGATTTAGTATTTCGAGAGGTGCTGTCATCAATTAGAACATTTAAGTAGACAGACTGGTGCACCATCTCTAATACTATGCAGTGGTCCTCAAGTTGGAAAAAAAATGTGCCTTTCATCCATTACCTCTCTGGAGACTTCTTGCTGCGATGAACAGTGTGCTCAGGGACTATTTGGAACTGGATGTTTTTGAATTCTTTTATACTAGAGATACTATTCCTAATTTTCTGAGGGCCTTTTAACACGCTGGGGCTGATTGATTGCAAGTATGCTTGTTCTAGAATATGGAAGTACAAAGACAGGAATTTTATTAAGTGTGCTCTATGTATTGGAACTGGTGAGTGAATTAAGCACCATCACTGTTTCTGAAAGAAAAGGTAGATGGAAAAGCAGTAGGTGATCTTGCTTGGTCCTTTTGGATTTAGGTCCACACTTGAGGTGGGAGAGTGGGAGAAGTACAAGGAGTATATAGGGTGTATACCCAATCCCGAAAGCACATGGACCACGAGTCACGGTATGGTTAATTGTCCAGGGACCTTGGCTTTCATGATAGAAGTGAGAAGCCAGGCTACAGAAAATAATCCTAAATTGCATTGTAGTAATTGCTTTCAGAACAGAAAATAAAAACGTCATTATTGTAAATGGACATTCTTCTCTTTTAAATTACATGCAGATGGGTAGCATAGTAATGGCTGACTAGAAAAATTTTGATTTCGTTAGTAAGTGGCCACAAAAATGACTGAAAGATAATTCCATTTTGCTCTTAAGGTGACTATTTCAAGTCTTCTAAATAGGTGAGCCCCTTTTCTTAGAAAAGAAAAAAAAAAACAGGCTGGATTTGGCCATTGGTGTCAGCTTATAGTCTGCACATACACTTACACTTGGACATGAAATTGGTCAAAATGTCACTAATAAAATCTGTATGACATCAGTTTTTCTCGTTATTTATATGATTTTTAGAAAGTTTTTGGTAGTGCCAAGACACTCAAGGTGAATTTCCTTCCCATTACCTGGCCATTAGTCAGCTCTGATAGCAGATTTCTAAGTATTTTGCTGGAGAGAAGTCTATGCACATGTAATTATATTTGTCCCTCTCCTTTTAAAAAAAGTCTATGCACATGTAATTATATTTGTCCCTCTCCTTTTAAAAACACAAAGGTAACATGAAACTGGCTGAGTTGTACCTTTTTGCTTAATAAATCTAGCTTATAACTTAAATATATAAAACCTCTGGTGATATGCAAATTTCTGCATTTCCCTTAAATATTTACTTTTAAAAATAATTTTTGTCTATTTGCAAGAAGTATTTTTCAATAGACTAGTATTTTAAAATAAAAAGCCAATTTGAATAGAACCAATTTTTAAATTTATAATTTTTTTTTTTTTTTGGTGCTATTCCTGGGGCTGGAACTCGGCCTGGGCACTGTCCCTGAGCTTTTTTTGCTCAAGATAAGCACTCTATCACTGGAGCCACAGCCCCTCCTCTGACATTTTAGTGGTTAGGTGGAGATAAGGGTCTCACAGATTTTCCTGCTTAGGCTGGTTTTGAACCACAAACCTCAGATTTCAGTTTTTTGAGCAGCTAGCTAGAATGGCCCAGCTCGTTTTTGTTTTTAACCAAAAATACCTTAAAGTGCTTCAAAAGAAATTTCATCTGGTGATGTCTGTGGCAGAATTACTGTACTTCAAACTACCCCTCCCAATTCTGGGACTCCCAAACTCAGGGCCTAGGGACTGTCCCTGAGCCTTGAGCCTTTTTGTGCCCAAGGCTAGTGTTCTACCATCTGAGCCACACTCCTACTGGCTTTTTGAGTAGTTTTTTGGACACAAGAGCTTCATGGATCTTCCTAACCAGGCTGGCTTCTAACCACAATCCTTAGATCTCAGCATCCTGAGTAGCATGAGCCACTACTACCTGGCTTATAATTTTTGGTTGTTTGAAGCCAGTACCAGGGTTTGAATTCAGGGCCTTGGCAATTGCTCAGCTAACACTATTTCACCCATGCTTCCAGCCTGACTTTTTGTTATTTTGGAAATGGAGTAGTGGACTTTTCTGCCCAGGCTTGACTTTGAACCACTATCTTCCAGATTGGCTAGGATTACAGATATGAGCTAACCCCCATCCCTACTCCCAGGCTTAGAATTACCAATAGTCTTCATTAACTTGTGTCAGTAATATTGTTCTTTCCGGTTGGGCAGTTATGTCTTGACTTCTAAAACTAATTTCTTTTGTAGTGCCAACTTGCTTCTGACAATATTAAATGGATCTGAGGTGGGAATATATCTTAGTGATAAAAGCACTTGCCTCGTTGGTACAAGGCCCTGAGCTAAATCCTCAACATCACAAAAACAAGAAAGTTACAGCAATAAGCTGAGCCTGTAATTCTAGCTACTCAGGAGGCTGAGATCTGAGAATCAAGGTTCAAAGCCAGACTGGGCAGACAAATCTGTTAAGAATTTTATCTCCAGCCACAAGCCAAAATGTTGAGCCCTGAGTTTAAGCCTCAATAGTGGCACCAAAGAAAATTGTAACAGCAGTACAATAAGGGCTGCAGGTGTGGTCCAAATATTAAGCACCAGCCTAGCATGCGTGAGCCCCCAAGTGCAAACTCCAGTACTGTCCAAAAACCCTTTGGACACACAAAACTTGGCAATAGGCATATCCAATCATAAATTCTTTGAGCCACTAACCCTTTGAAATCTACAACATCCAATCTACAACATCTACAAAATCTACAACATCTAACTTTGAAATCTACAACATCCAATTTTAGAAGGTTTTTAATGCTATGAATCAGAGGTGAAGTCACAACACACCTTAAATGTGAGTTCAGTTACTGGACCCAGGCTTTCTTCAACATTATCCAAGGCTACGCGGCTATATCTTTCCTGCCACTTGCTTTCCACTGTGACAATAATGAACTAATAACTTGAGGTTTTTTCAATTTTTTTAATTTCTCCCTTGAATATATTTGTTCAAACTATATCCCTTGTGATATTTTATTCTCCCCAGAAAACCTACGTGTACCCTATGCCTGTCCTCATTTAAAACAGCTCATTATGTTACCATTCACATATCTATACCTTCCTCTAGGCCCAGCACAAAGAGTAATGAATAAATAACTAGTCCATTTATTCCACTTTTGACCTGAACCTCCCCTTGAAGCTTTCGAAACTTGCTTCTTTTCTTGTGATTCCTCCTGCTATAACTGGGGGTATTTTCAAAACCTAAAATTTAAAACATGTTTTAAACTGATCAGTGACAAAGATACAAAGATGACACATCCCATCTCTTGAGAAAATTACTTGAGCTACTTCTCAAAGTCTTAACAGTTCAGTCAGTTTTTTCTAAAGTTTATAGTAAATATTCTTTGATTTTTTTTTTGGTCATGGGGCTTTAACTCTGGGCTTGGGTGCTGTCCCTGTGCTCTTCAGCTCAAGGCAAACATTCTACTGCTTGAGCCACAGCGCCACTTCCAGTTATCTGAATGGTTTATTGGAGATAAAGAGTCTCATGGACTTTCCTGCCCGGGCTGGCTTTGAACTGTGATCCTAAGATTTCAGCCTCCTGAGTAGCTAGGATTACAGGCGTGAGCCAACGGCGCCCAGCAAGTTCTTTAATATGTTAAACTACATTTTTTTTTATTTTATGAGCAATAAAACTGTGCCAGATTAACCAATCAAAAATGATAATACACTCTTAGACACTTCCCTAGAAGGATATCAACACTGTGTACTCATGTTAGGAATTCAAGGTCAGTCCCAAATGATGTGTATACTGCCATCCTTATGTTCATGTATGTGTTAGATCACACGGAGAGGGTCCCGGTCAGTCTCAGACAGGATAATATTAATCTTATTCTCCAGGTGAGCACCCAGCCTATCTCGAAGGTCAGAAAGAAAGCCTCGTTCAGTGTTGCTGTGTTCACAAAGGATCACGTTTATTCCCTGGGAAGCAGCATCCAGAATATCATGATGGGACATTTCACCTGCCAAAAAGGAAAGAGCAAATGCTTTAACAATAGACTGCTAAGCCAAAAATGCCAAGGTTATATTCTGCTTGAAGTATTGTAATACAGTAGAATTACTTCAACAGAAACCTAGAAAGCTGTATATAGTTTTTGTTCATGTCCTGTAACATAGAAACAGAGAATACTAACATGCTTCCATTGGGCAGATCTAAAGCAAATGTGTTAGTTTTGTATCCTTATAACAAAATACCTGACAAGCTACTTACAAAGAGGTTTATTTAGATGCTTAAACTATAAACTACTGCTGGGAGTGTACAGTGCTTGTCTACTATGCACAAAGCCCTATTTTCAACACCCAACACAGCACCAAAAAAAGGTCCAAACTACAACACAGGCTCATATCCAAGTCAACTTTTTGGAGTCATCACCTTATGGCATAGATGACCAAGTTACAGCAGCAAGTTACATCGTAACCAGAAGCAGAGGACAGAGGGGAACAGGATTATTCTTGTTTTGTTTCTTGATGCTCGGGATTGAACCCAGAGCCTAACAATGTAAGGTAAGCAAACACTTGTAACACAACAACATCCTCAGGCCCTTCATATGAGGTCAGGTGTAGAACTTTACACTTACAGTTTTGTGACTCAGAAGTTTTAGATTTTTGGGGGGGCAGGGGGAGGTTGGTCTTGGGGCTTGAACTCAGGGCCTGGGTGCTGTCCCTGAGCTCTTTTTGCTCAAGGCTGGCACTCTACCACTTTGAGCCACAGCATCACTTCTAGTTTTCTGGTGGTCAATTGGAGATTAAGTCTCATGAGGACTTTTCAGTCTAGGCTGGCTTTGAACCATGACCCTCAGACCTTAGTGAGTAGCTAAGATTATAGGCATGAACCACCAGTGCCAGGCAAAAAAATTATATTTTAAGGCTTGACAGCACATACTTTTATTTGTTTAGCCAGTCCCTAGGGCTTGAACTTAGGGCCTGTTCTTAAGCTTCATTTGCTCAAGGCTAGCACTCTACCACTTGAACTACAGTGCCAGTTCCAGCCTTTTCTGTTTATGTGGTATTAAGGAATCGAACCCAGGGTTTCATGCATGCTAGTCAAACACTACCACTAGGTCACATTCCCAGCTCCCACACACTTAATCCCAGCTACCTGAGAGGAAGAGTCAGGAGAATCATAAGATCAAGGATAGCCTAGGCTACATAGTGAGACCCCATCTCAAAACACACAAAATTCAGACTTTGGAGCATTTTGGAATTTCAGCATTACATCTGTAATACTAACACTTAGGACCTGACTAAGACAGGAGGATTGAGAGTGGTAGGCCAGCCTGAGCTATCTCAGGAAAAAATAAAATTAAAAAAACCTATATGCGGGATGGGGGGGGAGGGGAGGATGGGAAGGGATGGGAAGGGGAAACAAAGGAGGAGGCTAAAATGCCTGATAAGAAATGTACTCATTATCTTGCCCATGTAATTGTAACCCCTCTATACAGTATTTTCACAATAAAAAAATGTTTATTTAAAAAAAAAACCTAGATGCCTCAAAATCTCATTTTGTGCTGTCAATGCCAAGTTCAATAGCCGACCTCATGTAATGGGTCACAGCCATAACAGACACACTAAGAATAACACATAAAATTCCCTCATTGCCGGGTGCTGGTGGCTCACGCTTATAATCCTAGCTACTCAGAAGGCTGAGATCTGAGGATCCTGGTTCAAAGCCAGGCCAGACAGGAAAGTCTGTGAAACTCTTATCTCCAATAAACCACCAGAAAACGGGAAGTGGTGCTGTAGCTCAAGTGGTAGAGCGCTAGCCTTGAGCTGAAGAGCTGAGGGACAGCGTTCAAGTCCCATGACCAACCAAAAAAAGAAATTCCCTCAGGCCACCTGCACAAGCTGTATGTGAAACAAATTCATATTAAGATTTAGTTCCCATCTCCTGAGATAGTTTCATTGTACATATGTAAAACTACAAATCCAGCATACTTCTGTTCCCAAGCATTTGAGATAAGCACTCAGTCTAGGGATATTCAACCTGTATTTATGTATGTGCACATACAAATATACATGCACATATAAACATAGAGTATACCAATGTAGAAAACCATTAGTAATCTAGGTAGAGGGCATATAGAAATTGATTGCATTGTTATGGAACTTTTCTGTAAGTCTGAAATTCCTTTGATGTAAAATAATTTGTTTTTTTTTTTTCTTCCACCATACTGGGGATCAAACCCAGGGCTTTGAATACTCTAAAGCACTCCACCACTCCTGCTAAAATTTTAGCCTGCTAAAATTAGTTTTGAAGGTAACAAGCATGTAATCATGTATCCAAACTGCTTACACACGGCAAGTTTCCTCGACTATCCCACAAATCTTAAAGATAATAAAAATATTCCATCTTCTCAGAAGAGTGGGACACAGGTAATGTGATGTACATTTTCAATTTCCTGGCTCCCAATCACTACACTGGGCTTGCTCAGATGTGTCTACTTCTAGAAGTCACAAAGCTTCTAAGTGCAAGAAAAAAAGATAATGAGTATCTTTTTGATTCTGTTCCTCAAGTACAGTGTGGAGTCTTAACAGCTGGCAAAATAATCATATACTCTCCAACAGAAATGAACATCAGATTTTAAAGACAGACAAAGGGACACAGACAAGGAGGGGCAGGAAAATGGTAGTGACAGAAAAGTCTTCTGGGTGGATGAAGCAGATGATCTTTGAGTTTATAAGTAACAGAGAAAAAAAAAAAAAAGAAAAGAAAGGCAATGGAAGATGTCCAGGCATCATCTGCACAGAAGGAATCACTGATGACTGTTTAACAACACAGTGACCTTAGCGATTTATACTTTCAACTTTTTCACAGATAATGTTAACACGGTCCCACTAGTGAAGCATTCCATGTTTTTAAAGTTAGCCGACAGAAATGGAGAGACAAAGTGTAAACAAATATAGCAGGGGTACTCACTAGACAACTGTTGGGATGGGGGAAAAAACTGGGGCAGTGAGGAAAGGAGTGACACTGTTCAAAAAGAAATGTACTCTTGGGCTGGGAAGGTGGCTCAGGGGTAGAGTGCTTGCCTTGCATGCAAGAGGCTCTGGGTTCGATTCCTCAGCACCACATAAGCAGAAAAAGCAGGAAGTGGCACTGTGGCTCAAGTGGTAGAGCGCTAGCCTTGAACTGAAGAGCTAAGGGCAGCGCCCAAGTCCAGAGTTCAGGCCCCACAACAGACCACACACACACACAAAAAAAATGTACTCTTTACCTGACTTAGGTAACTATAACCCTTCTGTATATCACCCTTATAATTACAATAAAAAAGGTACAACACAAAAAAAGTTAATTTTGAAGAATCACATGGAAAACAAGATTAGAGGCATGATGCAATACTTTAGGCAGAACATGATACCCAGATAGGTTAAGGGAAAAGCTTTAGGGAAGATCTGGGAGCTTGAACTGACAGAAACTGAAGACTATATTTACATTTTAAAAAACCAAACCTACAGCCAGGCGCCAGTGACATGTACCTGTAATACTAGCTACTCAGGAGGCTGAGATCTGAGGATCATGGTCTGATGCCAGCTCATGCAGAAAAGTCAATGAGATTCTTATATTCAGTTAACCACCAAAAAGCTGGTGTGGAGCTGTGGTTCAAGTGATAGAGCACCAGCCTTGAGGAAAAAAGCTCAGGGACAGGGCCCAGGCCCTATGTTCAAGCCCCAGGACTAGTACAACAAACAAAAACCAGTTAATCAAGGTTGAGAAGGTTGCACCAATGGATGTTACCTGTGAGGTAGAGGTCAGCCTGTACCCCTCGTAGAACACTGCTCCCAGAACCAGCACACAGGGCCACCACTTCCACTCTGGACTCTTTAAGAAAAAGGACATAATATTTTATGACTCCCTCCCCCTTTGGTTTAATTCTACAACTTGAACAAGAATTCTAAACAGAATTTACACCTGTTCTATACATTTATGCTTAATTTAAAAATAAGCCCAAGTACACGCCCAAAAAGAAACAAAGGAGCAGTGAGATATATTCCAAAATGTAAACCAATCATCCCTTATGAGCAACTAAAACATTATCACTCATATTAAGAAAACTGAGCATATTAATGTTAACTCTAAGGTAATTAAGGATTTACACTTACCTAAGGTCCTCCCTACCCCCAGAGCTAAGCGAAGATGAGGTAGTTTTAGGTATCTTTTGATTCGCTCAATCATGGTTGCCAGGGAGACAGGTTCATCCAGTGTGCATAACCGTCCCATTCCAGTATGGAGAAGCAAAGGCTGAAAAGAAACTGAGGTTAGAAATAGTATATATTATCCATCCTAAAAAAAAATCAAACGTACAAACGATAAATGCTGAAATTAATAAAATACGTATAGCAAGCTTTAGGCTAATGTTTGAGAATGCAAAGGTGGCAAAAAAAACATTTTGTTCAAAAAGAAAGGTACTCAAGCTCATAGCCTGCAAGGCAGATGTTTAAAATTAACAGGTAGGTGTTAGTGCTAGAGAAACACAAAGGATGACAAAGTAAATGAGCTGGGTCTTGGGGTATGTGCGTGTAAAATGAGAAAGTATCATTAAGGAAGGTTTTACATGGATTTGTATTTTACAGAATAACCAGAAAAGAATTTAAAAGGGTGAAGTTAAGTGCAGTGTGGCGGAGAGGGGTAGATAAGTAGAAGAGCACTCTAAAGTTAAAGAGCACAAAGGTATCAGCAGTGTGGGAGAACACACTGGGAGGGCAGAACAAAAAGTGACAGTATGATGACATGCAGAGCCTATGACCAGGAGAGCAGGGCTGCAGGTGTGGGCTGCCCCCTGTGGGCAAGAGAGGGAACTTGAGTGCTTCAACAAACAGCTACAGGGACAGAACTCAGACTGAGATAGACTGCAGAAACTTGAAAAATAAAGGGAGGTGATGCTACAAAACCAATGAAATTGAAAAGGAATAAAAAATAGAACCTGATGGCCTGGAGATAAGATCAACGTTTGCATATATTGGATATATCTTCAATACTTACAAGATTTAGAGCTGAAAACTGTCCAGAAAATAGTTGAAAATATGGGCTTTTTTTTTTTTTTAAACTTTCCCATCCCCTTTTTCCTTCCTCTTTCCCCTCTTTCTTGGTTTGTGCCTTAAAAAAGCATTCTGGGCTGGGCACTGATGGCTCATACCTGTAATCTAGCTACCAAGAAAGCCAAGACCAGAGGATTGGGTTTTTGTTGTTGTTGTTGTTTTTGGGTCCAGTTGTGGGGCCTGAACTCTGGGCCTGGGCACTGTCCCTCAGCTCTTCAGCTCAAGGCTAGTGCTAAACCACTTGATCCACAGTGCCACTTCCGGCTTTTTTCTTTTTGCTTATGTGGTGCTGAGGAATTGAACCCAGGGCCTCAGACATTCAAGGCAAGCACTCTACCACTGAGCCACCTTCCCTGCCCAGGATTGGGGTTTGAAGCCAGCCTAGGCAAGAAAGTATGTGAGACTCTTATCTCCAACACTCTCCTCAGAAAAAGCTGGAAGTGGCGCTGTGGCTTAAGTGGTGGTGGAACACTAGCCTTGATCTCAAAAAGGCTCAGGGACAGTGCCCAGGCCCTGAGTTCAAGCAGGACCAGCCAAAAAAAAAAAAGTTTTCTGGGCTCACACCTATAACCTCAGCTACCCAGCTACTTTGGAAAGGGAAATTGGGAGGATTGTGGTGGTCAAGGCCAGCAAGATCTCATCTCAACAGACAAATTGGGAGTGGTAGTGCTAACTACCACTAATAATGCTGTGCTAATAATGCTGTGCTAACAGCTTCAGGAGGTGCACAGGTAAGAGGTTCATAGTCTGAGGCCAGCCCAGGCAAAAAATAAAGACCCTATATGGAAAGAAAAAGAGAAAAAAAAAGCTAAAGCATAAAGGGACTGGGGCACAGCTCAAGTAATACAGTATCTGTCAGTAAGCATAAGGTCTTGAGCTCAAACCTGAGTACCACCAAGAAAAAAAAAAGCATTCTTTTTTTTTTTTTCTGGTCGGACATAGGGCTTGAACTATGGGCCTGGGCACTGTCCCTGGGCTCTTCAGCTCAAGGTGAGCACTCTACCACTTGAGCCACAGCACCACTTCCGATTTTCTAGTGGTTTATTGGAGATAAAGAGTCTCACAGAGTTTCCTACCCGGGCTGGCTTTGAACCATGATCCTCAGATCTCAGCCTCCTGAGTAGCGAGGATTACAGGCATGAGCCACCGGCACCTAGCTGATTCTAGTAAAGATACAGCAACCATCATTATATGATTGTCTATTAAGTTAAAGGAGAAGGGAATGTTTCATCAGAGGATAACAGGAAGTGATAAATTTGTAACCTTCTCTATAACTTAAAGTCTATAACACAAAAGTCCAACATCTTATTTGGAGAGTATTTCTCCTCAATAACTTTTCCAGGGTTTCTTATGTCCCCATCATTATTTTGTACTTCACAGTTTTTTGTTGTTGTTTGTTTTGGTGCCAGTGTGGGGGTTTGAAGTCAGGACCTCACTCTCGGGTTTTTTGCTCACACCTGGCACTCTGCCACTTGAGCCACATCTCCACTTCTGGCTTTTTGTTGGTTAACTGGAGATAACAGTCTGCCCAAGCTGGCTTCAAACCATGATCCACAAATGTTAGCCTCCTGAGTAATGAGGATTATAAGCATGAGCCATAGCACTCTGCCACCTCATCCACAGTCCTCTTACTTTGAACTGCCTTAGGTTAGCTAAAGGCCTGTTAAACAATTTACAATTTGCTGAACAAAACCAAAGACTAATGCAATTCATCACGTTATACATAGGAAATAAATACAACTGGTATCTCAATCTTAAATCGATAAATGCACAATAATCTAAGATTAAATATAAAATATTTTTATTACCTTCTCCAGTGACAGTATTTCAGTCTTCTGATACAACTGTCTGTTCTGGGACAGGAAAGCCACAACTTGCATCAAAGCCTTCTGAGAGCAATTCAAACTGATCCTTGTTTGTTCCTCGTCATCAACCCTAGCAGGGGATAATATAACCTAAATGTATTTTAAATGTATATAAAAGATTAGCCTTATATGAAACTAGGGATTTGACCACCAAAACTCATTTAATCCCAAACCAATCTATTTTCTGTGTTTCTCAAACTGTAGGATGCATCAGAATCACCTATACGACTTTATTACTAGCTTCTTAAATGGCAGCTGCTGAATCCTGCCACAGATCCAATAAAATAGGACATCTAGGAACAGGGCTGGAGCAAAGTGAGTTTTTGGGTAGTATTAGGGTTTGAACTCAAGCTGGCCAGGCAGGCGCTCTACTACTTGAGTCATGCCATCTTCTTGCTTTAATTACTTTTCATATTTTTGCCTAGGACTGGGCCTCAGATCAAGGGTGTGCTACTTACAACCTTGTAGACAGCTAAGATCATAGAATTGTGCCATCCTACTCAGCTTATTTATTGAGGTAGAGGTCTCATTAACTTTTTGTCCTGTCTGGCCCCAACTTCAATCTCTGGATATCTACCTCCCAAGTAGCTAAGATTACAAGCATGAACCACCAGGCTTGGCCCACCTAATTGAACTTTTTGGCAGTATTGGGGTTTGAACTCATGGCTTTGTGCCAAATGGAACTTTGTTAAGAGCTTTGGACAGGGTAATTTTCAACTATCACTGAATATGAGAATCTCCTGGGTGGTCTAAAACAAATCTCATCCTAATTACATAGATCTGGGAATAAACCCAAGTCTGCATTTTTTCCTTTATTGTTGTTGTGGCTGTGGGGACTGAATTCTGTGGGTGCTGTCCCTCAGCTCTTCAGCTCAATGTTAGCGCTTTACCACTTGAGCCACAGCACCACTTCCAGCATTTTTTATGTGGTGCTGAGGAATCAAACCCAGGGCCTCATGTATGCAAGGCCAGCATTCTATCACTGAACCTTCCCAGCCACCAAGTCTGCATTTTTAAAAGTGTGTCATTAAAAATGATTGGGGGGTCCCTGAATTGCTTTGTGAGGTTTACATAAGTACCATTTCCTGTGTTTTGACAAGTGGGGTGGGGGGAAGAGCTATGTATGGCCTGAGGCGGGAGCAGCATATGAGGCCTTCAGATCATTTGGAACATGACAGGATACTCATATGCTTCTTCTCCTCACTGCCAGTATTAATAATTTTGTAATAATTATGTTACAAATATCTAAATAGCCCATGGCAGAAAAAAGGTTCCTCATCCTACTTCTTGCGTTCTTCTGCCAAGGAGCCTAGATTTGTGTATCGGACTTTACACACACACACACACACACACACACACACACACACACTTTTTTAATCGTGTTGGGAATCAAGCCTAGGGCCTCACATGTATGTGCTAATCAGTGCTTTAAAAAAATTTATTGTTATTATAAACATGATATACAGTTACATAAGACCGGTAACAAGTACATTTCTTTTTGGACAATATCACACTTCCCTGTCTCCTACTCTCCTAGTCAAGCACTCCTACCACTGAGCTATGCCCCAGCTCCTACCTTGCCTTTACCACTGTTTTCATGGAAAAAAAATAGCGCAAAGAAAAATCTCCTATCCCTGCCCTGGATAATTAAATAGACATTTTAAGAAAAATGCATTTTTCTTTTAAAGTGCTTGGGAATCCTTTCCTGGGAACTGATCAAAGACTTACCAATATGGGCAGGGAATGTGGCTTAGTGGTAGAATGCTTGCCTTTGCATGCATGAGGCCCTGGGTTTGATTCCTTGGTACCACATAAACACATAATTAATAAAATAAAAAACAACCATTAAAAGTTATTAAAAAAAAAGACATTAGTAGGATGTGTCTGAATTCTCTTCAGTAAAATATCTTCCTTTCAACATTACCAGAAGGATTAGAAATACTGTATAAATATACAGTATAGTCCTTCCTACCTACAAAGCAATAAGAGGTACAAATAAGTATGGAAAATCCTTAAAATGTACTGTACCTAGCAGAAAAAGAAGTAAGAGAAATATCTCCAATTCTTTTCACTTCAGACATAACTCTGTCCAGGTCCTGGGTCTGGTTAACACTGAATTCTACTCGGTGAGTTCCATCTGTGGGGTGGTTGGGAGCTTGGGATGGTTGGATGGGCCTGGAGGTACAAACTCCTAAAGAAAAAAAATGTAAGAAAATGTGAATTTTTGTGATGCTTCAAAATTTAACATATAAAGTATTATATGCAAAATTAGTAAGAAATAACTATTTTTAAGATTTTTTATGTTCATACAATATACACATCTTACATGTTCATCACCAGTTCCCACAATTTAATAATTGGGGTGGACATACAAAACCATTGTTTTCAAAATTACTTTCCAGTAAAACTTGGATATAAAAGACTGATTTTCCCCCGCTTTGGTGCCAGTTCTAGGGCTTGAACTCAGGACCTGGGACACTGCCCTGAGTTTCTTTTGCTGAAGGCAAGCACTCTACAACTTGAGCCACAGTGCCATTTCTGGATTTTTCTGTTTATGTGTTATGGAGGAATCAAACCTAGGGCTTCATGCATGCTAGGCAAGCACTCTACCACTAAGCCACATTCCCAGACATGATTTTTTTTTAAGGTGACATATACATATAAGGCGATTTATCCACTTGATAAATCACAGTTCTGGTGCAAATATTTATAATCTGTTGCTGAATTAATAGGGATCATTTCATCATAAAAGCTTCAGCTCAAAATCAGCACTACAATGACATACTGAAAGTTAAAATCCACATGCTGAATTTGCTCATTAAATGCATAAGCATTCTATAAAAATTTGATATTGTGCTGGGCATAGTAATGCATTCCTGTAATCCCAGCACTTGGGAAGCTTTGGCAGGAAGATCTAGTCTGGGCCACAGAGCAAATAAACAACTCTTAAAAAAATATTTCAGGGGGCTGGGAAGATGGCTCAGTGGTAGAGCGCTTGCCTTGCATGCCTGAGGCCCTGGGTTCGATTCCTCAGCACCACATAAGCAAAATGAAAAAAGCCGGAAGTGGTGCTGTGACTCAAGTGGTAGAGCGCTAGCCTTGAGCTGAAGAGCTGAGGGACAGCGCCCAGGCCCAGAGTTCAGGCCCCACAACCGGACCCAAAAAAAAAAAAATATTTCAGGTAATAAGTACATTTGGTTTTGGAAATTGTCACCCCTTTCCTCACTGTCTCCCAACCCCCCACCGCACCCACTCATACAAAGGAAATTATTAAGGAAAGTAGAGGAGGCTTCTCACCTAGCCCTTGGGCCAACCAGTTGTTCACTCCCTGGGGTGCAGCGTCATAGGCTGTGTGAGGAGAGTAAATGCCAACTCTGTTCTCCAGAGCCCGAATCACCAAGCGTTCCTTCCAGGTTTTCCAAGTTACGTGCTTCATAGGCCGGAAAATCGGCGGATGGTAGGAAAGAATGAGATCTGCCTTCTTTTGCAGTGCCTCTTCCATTACCTCCTCAGTCAAGTCATTGGTCAGGAACAGTGTATTTACAGTATGTGGTGGGCTGGGTTCCACCAGCAATCCAACATTGTCCCAACTCTCAGCAAAAGAGAGGGATGCAAAGTCATTCAAGGAGGAGAGGAGAGCCTTCAAATCCATGAAGGAACGGGAAGAACTGCGGATCGGAGAGTGGAAAAGCCGGACTAGCATAGGGACCAGATGTACAGAAGATGACAACATACAGAGATCAGGTAAAACTGAATGTCTGAAGTCAAAACACAGGAAATTGTACTTATGAAAACTTCAGGGCTGAACCTCCGAGGTGACAAAGTGCGTGGGCAAAAGAGCCATCACCATGCAGACCTGATTCACTCAGCATACTGAAATTTAACAAAGTCAACTGACCTCTGGTAGTTTTTTCTCATGCACAAAATGGAGACACAATAATCTATCCCACAAGTATCTAGAGGAGCTAATGAATTAACACATCATCTAGCAAAGCCTAGTATAATATACAATGTTCATTCTCTTATCTTTCACTTTCCTCACACCCTTACTTCTATTATCCCATTCTTGTTTCAACCACTTTCTCCCTTCTCCATTTCTCTAAATAGAGAATATTAATAATCTCTATTAAATAGCCTCTAAATATCCTTTCAAGTCTCTTCAATGGCCTAATAATGCTTTTGTTTTTTAGCTTTTGTTTTTGTTTCTGGTGCCAGGTGTTATCCCTAACCTTTTGTGCTCAAGGCTAGCACTCTACCACTTGAGCCACAGCTCTACTTCTGACTTTTTGGTGGTTAATTGGAGATAAGAGTCTCACAGACTTTCCTGCTGGAGCTGGCTTTAAACCATGATCCTCAGTAGTTAGGATTATATGCATGTGCCACTGGTATCCATCTTTAATAATGCTTTTTGACAAATCTTCTTTCAGTGCTTTTTCTCAGCCTCCTCCAACCTACTGTTCTCAACATATTATAATGATAATGGTCCATATCCCTTACTATGCTAAAGTTACTGCAGAATAGGAACTACTTTAATGAATCTCAGTAACACCAGTATAAGCCAGCATTAATATTTACTGTTCAGACTGACCCAGTCCCCTCCCCCAACTATAGCATAATTTGGAGCTAGGGTGGTAAATCTTGGCATAAAAAAGTATACAAGGGGCTGGGAAGGTGGCTCAGTGATAGAGTGCTTGCCTTGCATGCATGAGGCCCTGGGTTTAATTCCTTAGCACCACATAAGCAGAAAAAGCTGGAAGTGGTGCTGTGGCTCAAGTGGTACAGTGCTTGCCTTGAGCTGAAGAGCTTAGGGACAGCGCCCATGGCCAACCAAAAAAAAGTATACTATCTGCCGGGCGCCAGTGGCTCACGCCTGTAATCCTAGCTACTCAGGAGGCTGAGATCCGAGGATCCCGGTTCAAAGCCAGCCCAGGCAGGAAAGTCCATGACACTCTTACCTCCAATAAACCACCAGAAAACTGAAAATGGTGCTGTGGTTCAAGCAGTAGAGCGCTCGCCTTGAGCTGAAGAGCTCAGGCACAGTGCCCAGGTCCAGAGTTCAAGCCCCATGACCGACAGAAAACATAAATGGGCAGGGTCAAGGCAGGAACAGGCAGGAGCTGCTGTCCCTTACAACACTACCTTCTACACCACAGGCAGGACTAAGAGTTGGGAGAGGTAAAGTTGCAGGGCACTCTGCCTACACATCCTGTAAGCACTGTAACCTCTGCATCCAACATATGGACAAGAAAAGCTAGGCATAAATAAATCAGAAGCAAAAAGAAAAGGTGAGAGGGCAATGGGAAGCTACAAATGGTTAATTCTAAAACGTGAAAACGAAAAGATAGTACACGCTAAAAGCATTAGAAAGTATGCAAAATTATTAAGAAAACACAGCCGAACAGGGTGTAGGGTGTGCACCTATAATCCCAGCATTGGGGGTGTGTAGGGCTGCATAGTAAGACACTATCACAAGGTGGGGAGAACACATGAAGAAAAAAATATGGAACTCTAATATATATTTGAAGTGATATGGGGCCCTTGAAAAATCACCAAAGTCTTGGCTTTCACGTTTTGTTACAACTCCACTTTCCTGCCTTCTAAATCTGGCAAGGTGGAAATTGAAACTTGGGGAGTAACCACGCGAGTTTGGAGTTACTTAATGCAAGAACTGAATATATAACATGGTAGCACCTACGCTACGCCACGAAATAGTCAAGTAAGCCTACAAAACTTGAAAGCCACAGTCAGGGAAGACGATGGGAGGTAGTAGAACACGGTGGTTCAGCGCACTGCCATAAGTGAGAGTAAATCCCAGAGCCCTAGCCTGACCTCAGGTGCATTTTCCCCTTCGTGTCACGACTCACGGGCAGTACCTGTCCTAGACGTGGCCATTTGCCTCCTCAGGGAACTTCATGAGGGCTCGCTTCAGAGCCTGCAAACTGCTCTGCCGACGTGACCTCATCGCTCCTAATTCGGGGCCACCGCAGGCCTCTCCTGGGACGTGGAAGGCAGGCGGCGCCACAAGGAAGTTTCCAACATCCTTCCTCTCCGACCCTCTCTCTCCACAGCACCACCACCACCACACCCGGCTCCCACTAGAGGAAGCAGTCAAAACTACCTTTTCCTCACGGCTCCTAAAGCCCACCACTACTCACCAGTCCCGGAAACCTTTCTCTAGCGCCACTTCCGGTCTCGCGCGGAAGTTCCCAGCACGGAGGTAACACGAAGGCGGGGCAAAGGCTCTCTACGGAAATGGTCCATCCTGGCTTTGTGTCCGTCCGACTCCAAAGCATTGCATGAGGTTTTCCCAGTAGTACAAACTGTGTTTCTTGTCCAACCTTATTTTTCCTAGAACTCTCTTTCTCTGTCACATTTCTGGGAGGTGGCGGGATAAGTTTCACAGTTCCCTTTGTTTTGCCATAGAAGGAGTGGAAAGAGAAGACAGAGAAATAGGAGGCCTCCTCCATAATGGGTCCGGCACACGACTTCCGGTCGCGGCGCGGAACTACGGTAGCTCGGCGCGGGTCAGCTTCTACAAGTTGTTCTCACACCGGCTGTGCGTGCGGACGTGGCCACGTAGGGAGTCACGTTGTTCTTTCATTTACTTACTCAGTGCTAGCTGAGCTCTCCATGCATGCTGGTGTAGATCTTGGGCTATTTGGAGTGAACGTTTCTGGCCGACGAGGGGTTTGTGGGAATGTGGGAATGGTGTGTAGGGTCTTAGTGACCAATACTCCAGGGGAATGCGGCGAGCAGGTCTAGGGGTCAAGCAGTTTTACACAGATGTCAGGTCACTTAAGTCCCAACATTTGAACAGTGTCTTGAAAGGCAGACTTGAGGCCTACAGACGTTCCCAGTGCCTCGACGGTGATGAAATGCCTTAGTCGGGGATTTGCACAGAGGGTCTTCAGGACATAGGAGCAGAGCCAGAAGGAGATAGAGAGGCTTGAGTTGGGTAGGGTCTCCTCACCACGTCTATAATCTGATTTTTATTACATAGAGGAGGCTAATCGAGGCTTTAAATATATATAGTAAAGGAGAGCGCGTGTGAGGGAAGAGGATCGAATAAAGTATTTCTCTTTTAGGAATAAAATCTTCCAAGCTTTCCTATGGAATATTTTGAGAATTGAAATAGTGCTTCCTGAAAGCATCAAGAAGAGAAATGGTAAGTGTAGAACTCTTAAATGCCATTTGTTCTAAGTAGTTTTGTTTTGTTTTTTAGAAATTCAGGTGAAATAAAGCTGCAAGGAAAATCAGTGAGATGAATAAATTATAGATGTACACCATGTAGGATGATTTAAAAAAACAGAAATAAGCAAAATTGCTGTTAGGTGTGTTAATATCTTCAATTACAATACATAAAATAGACCTTTTTTGAAAAATAAATGATGGAGATAAAGATGGAAAGGAGTTTGCAAAGTAGAAAAAGACAAAGCAGGTGGGTTTATTTAAATTATGCTCTGGATCTAAGGAAAGTAACTAGAACTTAAAGTAGAAGAAAAAAAGAATAGTTCCCTTCTACCCAACTCACCTCCTATCCTTTTCTTCAACCTGGTTTTACACTGCTAGATGACTTATAAATTAGGTCAAATAGTTTTCTCTCTCTCTGGAATAGGAGATGAAAGAATATATAAACTGAAAACAACAGATACTAAAAAAATTATAATTACCTCTGCAGGTTTTAGAGATAAAACTGCCAACTTATTTTTTGTCATTATTAAGTGGTTGTACAAAGGGGTTACAATTCCATGTCAGGTTATGAGTACAATGCTTCTTGTCAGTGTAACCCCTTCTTCTTACTCCTTTCCTTTGTTCTCCCCTATTTCCCCCTCCCATCCCTAACTTTCAGTTACATAGTTTCCCCCTTCTTCACCCTACCCACAAGTTACATATGTTTTTTGTATGTATGTATGTATGTATGTTTTTGTGCTGTCTGAGGTTTGAACTCAGGGCCAGGGTGCTGTCCACTGGCTTTTTTTTGCTCAAGGCTACCACTGTACTGCTTGAGCAACAGCTCCACTTCTGGCTTTTTGGTAGTTAATTGGAGATAAGAGTCTTATGGAATTTTCCATGATCCTCAGATCTCAGCCTCCTGCCCAAATTACAGGTATGAGTCACAAGTACACAGCACATAGTTCATTTTTTTAAATATAATGTACATTGACTATAATGACTACATCTGCTCACCCTTCCTCCTTCCATTTGCCCTCCCTTTGCTCATGTCCAAAAATATGTTTCCGTTTCCTGGTGTTTGTTTTAATAAGCAGTACTTTAGTTGTCCAGAGAAGTTATATCTCGGATTCCTCTCCTAATTGTACCCTCCATTTGTCAGTTTGTATGTAAATGCATTGAGCTCTGTATATATTATCATGCTTAGTTGTATTTTAGATTTAGCTTCCACATATGAGAGAAAAAAATGTGCTATTTGTCTCTCTTAGCCTGACTTACTTCACTTAACATGACTTTTGTTTGTTTGTTGGTCGTGGGGCTCAAACTCTGGGCCTCTGCACAGTCCCTCAGCTCTTCAGCTCAAGGCTATTGTTCTACCACTTGAGCCACAGTGCCACTTCCAGTTTTTCTGGTGTTTTATTGGAGATAAAAGTTTCATGGACTTTCCTGCCCTGGCTGGCTTTGAGTCACAATCCTCAGATCTCAGCCTCCCAAGTAGCTAGGATTACAGGCATGAGCCACACATGCCTGGCTAACAGGACTTTTTTCTAGATCCATCTATTTCCCTGTAAGTGACATAATAATATTCTTTCTAATAGATGAGTAAAATGCAATTGTGTATATGTACCACATTTGCTTGGTCCACTCATCCATTGTAGGGAATCTGGGCTGTTTCTATAACTTGTGAATGGTGTAGCAATGAACATAGATGTACAAGTGTCTTTACCATATCCTTACTTACAGTGTCATCTACCCAGAGCTGGTTGCCAAGAGTGGTATTACTGAATCATAGGGGAGTTTTATATTTAATATTTTGAGGAACCTCCAAACCACCATCCAGAGTGGCTGTAATAGTGCAAGAGGTTTCCTTTTTTTCTATATCCCCTCCAGCATTTGTTCTTGTTGAATTCTTGAAGTTGACCAATCTTTCTAGGGTATACTGGAATCTCAATTTTTTTTTATTTGTATTTCTTTTATGGCCAGGAATGTTGAGCATTTCTTCATGTGTTTTATTTGCTGTTCTTCTGAGAGGTCTCTAGCTCCTTTGCCCTTTATTGATTGGGTTATTTACGTATTAGTTTCTTGAGTTTCTTGTCTGTTTTGGATATTATGTCCGTGTCAGATGTATAGCTGCTAAAGACCTTCTTCCAGTCTGTTAGCTGTCTTTTGTTTTTTTTTTCTTGTCAGTCATGGAGCTTGAACTCAGAGCCTGAGTACTGTCTCTGTGCTTTTGCACTCAAGGCTGGCTCTCTACCATTTTGAGATCATGTGGTTAATTGGATAAAAGTCTCATAGACTTTGCTGTCCAGAGTGGCTTTGAACTGTGGTCCTCAGATATCTGCCTCCTGAGTAGCTAGGATTACAGGTGTGAGCCACCAGTGCATAGCTGGCTGTCTTTTATTTTAGTAACTATGTCCTTTGCTGTGCAGAAACTTTTAGTTTGATATAATCCTATTTATCAAGTCTCTTTCCTATTTGCCGTGCCCCTGGAGTGTTCCTCCTATTCTAACAAGTCCTAATGTTTCTCCTACTGTGTCTTGCATTAGTTTCAAAGTTTCAGATCTGAAATTGAGGTCTTCGATCCATTATAATTGATATTGGTGCAAGTTGAAAAACAGGGATCCAGTTTTAGTTTTCTACACATGGATATCCAGTTTTTCCAACACTATTGAAGAGCCTGTCTTTTTTTTTCAATGTATACTTTTGGTTCCCTTGTCAAATATCAGGTGACTAAGTGTATGGGTTTATGCCTGGCACTGGTGGCTTATGCCTATAATCATAGCTACTCAGGAGCTGAGATCTGAGGATCACGGTTCAAAGCCAGTCCGGGCAGGAAAGGCCATGAAACTCTTACTTCCAAAAAACCATCAGAAAACCGGAAGTGGCACTGTGGCTCAAGTGGTAGGGTGCTAGTATTGAGCTGAAGAGGTGAGGTACAGTGCCCAGGCCCAGAGTTCAAGCCCCATGACTGACCAAAAAAAAAAAAAAAAAAAAGCTTATGGGTTTAGGGTTGGGAAGGTGGCTCAGTGAAGGTGGCTCAGTGGTAGAGTGCTTGCCTGCCTCCATCCATGAGGCCCTGGGTTTGATTCCTCAGCACCACATAAGCAGAAAAAGCCAGAAGTGGTGCTGTGGCTCAAGTGGTACAGCATTAGCCTTTAGCTGAAGAGCTGAGGGACAGTGTTCAGGCCTGGAGTTCAGGCTCCACAACCAACCAACCAACCAACCAACAAAAAACCATATGGGTTTATTTCTGGATCTTCTATTCTACTGGTCTTCAGGTCTGTTTTTGTGCTAATACCAAGCTGTTTTTGTTACTATAAAACTGCCAAGTTTTTTTGTTATTGTTATTAGTCAAGGAAGAGGGGCTGGGAAGGTGGCTCAGTGGTAGAGCGCTTCCCTTGCATGCATGAGGCCCTGGGTTCGATTCCTCAGCACCACATAAGCAGAAAAAATAAGCTGGAAGTGGCACTGTGGCTCAAGTGGTAGAGCACATACCTTGAGCTGAAGAGCTGAGGGACACCGCCCAGGCCGAGTTCAGGCCCCATGACCAACCCCCCCCCCCCAGAAAAACAAAGAAAGAAATGTTTTTTGCTTTTTTTTCCTTTTCGTGGTGGTCCTAAGGCTGGAACTTAAGGCCTGTGTGCTGTTCTTGAGCTTTTTTGCTCAAGGCTAGCTCTCTACCACTTGAACCCAGATCCACTCTGAAGAATGGAATGATTTTTAAACATTATTTCTCAGAATTAAACTACCTAACAGAAGTAGTTGAAGCCTGTTTTAAAAAATCATTTTCTTAACATTTTTCAGGAACTATTAGTGATATTTGATAAAAATAAATAATACTAACATAATTTTTATTCATGAATGATTTAGAGCTTAACATAATGAATTAGAACTTTGTTATTATAAAGGTGATGTACAGCCAAGCGCCAGTGGCTCATGCCTGTTATCCTAGCTACTCAGGAGGCTGAGATCTGAGGATCATGGTTCAAAGCCAGCTTGGGCAGGAAAGTCCATGAGACTCTTATTTCCAATAAACCACCAGAAAACCAGAAGTGGTGCTGTGGCTCAAGTAGTAGAGCGCTAGCCTTGAGCTGAAGAGTTGAGGGACAGCGCCCAAGCCCAGAGTTCAAGTCCCATGACTGACCAAAAAAAAAAAGGTGATGTACAGAGGGGTTACAGTTACATAAATCAAGTAAGAGTTCATTTTGTTTTGGACACAGTCACCTCCTCCCTCACACTCTCCCAGTTTTTTCCTCCTACCCCACCCCCAAGTTATATAGTTCATTTTCAACATATTGTCCATTGAGTACCACTGCTAAGTGCTGTTTGTTTATCCTTTCTCCTTCCATTTCTGTGCCTCCTCTTACCCTCCCAAAGACATATAAATTAACAAACAAGACAAAAAGGAAACAAAACATAATTTTTTTAAATTATTGTCAAGATAATGTACAGAGCGGTTACAGTTGTATAAGTAAGGTAATAAGTACATTTCTTGTCAAACTTGTTACCCTTTCCTTCATTTTTCTCCTACCTTCCTTCCCCCTCCAGCTCCCTCACATTGTACAGACTGTTTCCAACATACTGTCTTGTGTATGTCACTGTTGTATAGGTTCTCCCCCTTGTCTTTTGTCTCACCATTCTGTTGTTCCCCTTCCCTTCCCTAATTAAAATAAACATATGTAATACTAGAGTACCAAAGTCAAATACAGTGACAACAGGGGAGGTACCATAGGGGAAAGGCATCCAAAGGAAATGAGAAATCACATAATATATTAAAAACAACAACAACAACAAAGAAAAACCTCTTGTGTCCATGCCTTGGAGTTCATTTTGCTTAGCATAGTGTCATCTGATATGGTCATATGTATATAGCTTTTCAGCTACTCTGTTCATCTGCTAAGATTATCTTAGATGTATACTAATTATTGCAAATAAGGGAAACCATGGGACCTATGTTTCTTTGGGTCTGGCTTACTTCACTTAATATAATTTTTTTTTCCAAGTCTTTCCATTTCCTTACAAATGGGGCAGTGTCATTCTTTCTAATGGAAGCAGAGAATATATATATATATATATATATATATATGCATGTTTTCTTGATCCACTCATCTACTAAGGGGCATCTGAGTTGGTTCCATATCTTAGCTATGGCGAATAATGCTGCAATAAACATGGTTGTGCTAGTAGCTTTAGTATGGCCTTGTTTGTGATCATTTGGGTAAATGCCCAAAAGTGAGATTGCTGGGTCCTAAGGGAGCTCTGTGTAGTCTTTTGAGGAACCTCCATGCTGCTTTTCAGAGTGTTTGAACAGGTTTACACTCCCACCAATAGTGTAGTAGGGTTCCCTTTTGACCACATCCCCTCCAGCATCTCTTGTTATTAGATTTCTTGAGGTGGAATCTCCATGTTGTTTTGATTTGCATTTCTTTTATGGACAGAGATGTTGAGCATTTCTTCATGTGTCTATTGGCCATTCTTATTTCCTCTTCAGAGAAGTCTCTTTAAGTCTTTAACCCGCTTATTAATGGGGCAGTTGTTTCTTTGAGGATTTGTGTTTGGGGGATTTAATTTTTGAGTTATAAGTATATTTTAGAGATAAAGAACTTTCTGTTGTGTGGCTAGTGAAGATCTTCTCCCAATCCGTGGGCTTTCTATTGATCTTGCTAACTATGTCTTTTGCCATGCAGAAGCTCTGTGGTTTCATACAATCCATTTGTCCAACCTTTCTTTGATTTGTTCTAGTTTCTGGGTCTTTATTAAGAAAATTTCAGCCTGTGCCAAGGAGCCCTATAGTTTCTCCTATTCCTTCCTATAACATTTTTCAGGGTGTCTGCTTTGACTTCAAGGTCTTTGATCCATTTGGAGTTGATTCTAGTACATGGTGAAATATAAGGATCTAACTCATAATGATTTTTTTGGGGGGGGGAGTCCAGTTGTGGGGCCTGAACTCTGGGCTTGGGCGCTGTCCCTCAGCTCTTCAGCTCAAGGCTAGCACTCTACCACTTGAGCCACAGTGCCACTTCCAGCTTTTTTCTTTTTGCTCATGTGGTACTGAGGAATCGAACCCAGGGCCTCATGCATGCAAGGCTAGTGCTCTACCACTTGAGCCACAGCGCCACTTCCGGCTTTTTTCTTTTTGCTTATGTGGTGCTGAGGAATCGAACCCAGGGCCTCATACATGCAAGGCAAGTGCCCTACCACTGAGCCACCTTCCCAGCCCAGCTGCAGGTATTTTATGTGGGTAGAGTTCAATCACCGGAAGCAA